ACTGTGTGTGCTTTGTGTTTGTGCATTCACAATGCTCTCTTCCCCTCTCCAGGTAACGACCTGTTCTTGGTTGCGGTGCATGAGCTGGGCCACGCCCTTGGTCTGGAACACTCTAATGACCCCACTGCTATCATGGCTCCTTTCTACCAGTACATGGACACAGAGAACTTCAAACTACCTCACGACGACCTACAGGGCATCCAGAAAATCTATGGTAATTACTTCGTACATCTCTCTTTAACCTTTATATCAAAGATTATTTAGTTGAACAAAGAACAGATTTTACTGTAAATTCTAATATTCAGAAAGGAGCTAGATCGAGCCGTTACATATGTATTATGTTGTTCTAACACCTTATTGAGTCACTATTGCAAATGCTGCTGCAGCATTGAGATATGTTGAGTTGGATGCCAGTAAACAGCATTTGTCAGCTGTCAAAGAGGACAGCCAACAGGCATTTTCAAAACAACATGAGTCAACTGACAGAGCTCCAAAGAGGCCAAATCATTTGTGCCAAAATTAAAGGTGCTTTGGTAAAAAAACCTGTAAACTTATTTAATATCTCAATAAGCACAGTCCCAAATATCGTTAAATCTTACAAACACAGAAACTGTACTGTACAGACAAAAAGAAACAGTATGGAAGAAGGATGAAATACTTGGTGTATTTTTAGGTCCACCAGATAGAGCACCGCAGCCTACCAGGCCCCCACCCACGGTCCCACCTCCTCGCTTCCACCCACCCTCAGACCCCCGTAAGCATGACCGCCACGCCAGACCCCATCGCCCCCCACAGGGAGCCAAGCCCTCCAACCCCAACTCCAAACCCAACATATGTGATGGAGGCTTCAACACCTTGGCGATCCTCCGACAAGAACTTTTTGTGTTCAAGGTAGAGTAGATCATCAGCCTGAGTGGTTTTAACGCTGTTTGGGATGATGATGAAGATGATGATGAATCATGATGATGATTATGATGATGATGATATTAGTGATAGTAAATCTGCCTTATCACCATATCCATTTCTATAGGACCAGTGGTTTTGGAGGGTACGGGACAACTCAGTGGTCCCTGGCTACCCCATGCAGATCAACTACTTCTGGAAAGGCTTGCCTGCCAAAATTGATGCCGTGTATGAAAATAGCGAAGGGAAGTTTGTCTTTTTCAAAGGTAATAAAATATATTTTTTAATTACTTTCTCAGTTTTTTGATTTATAAAAGGTAACTTGTGGAGTTTTTGACCTCTAGTAGTGCTATAGAGCAATGTTGTTACAAGTGGTTAGTGTTAAGCTTGTACTAGTTTGCCCAGGATTTTAACCACTGCTTTCATGCTATTTCATTGATTGACATGTGGCTGTAAACACACCTAGAAATGTGGCAATGCACCAACAAAGGCAAGAAGAAGTCTGCTAGCTAGCAAACATGGATGTACGCAATGCAAGATTTAAAATATTTTAGTATAGTATATTCGTTCTAAAAAGAAAGGAAACACAGTAAACATATATTTTTTTATGATTTTACAAGAAAATTCCCCAAAAGTCTGCTTTAATTGTTTTAAATTGTATTTTTCTTCCTAGATTCAATTGCAAAATAAAACATAGAAAATGTCTCTAACAAGATAAAAGTAGGTCACACAAATGAACTTTCAATAATGTATCCTTAATTAGAAATATATAGCAGTTATATTTTTATATTTTTCCACCAAACCACAAAAATGTAATAACTGATAAAAGACAAAAAAAGTATTTTATTGCATACCACCACAAAAACATACAGTAATCTTCTATTTATAAATGAAAAGTAATCTTTTATTGCATTTACAAGTCAATGTGCATGTTTGAGCTCTCTAAACACTGTAATCTTTTATCATACAGCAACTAACCGGGTGACTGAGGTTGTTTTGTGCTCTGTAGCAGAACGGGTGCAGGTCCAGTACAGCCATCCGTCCATCAGGCAGATTAACATGACATCTGTCACCCAGTGGGATCAGAGCGCCTCATGCTTTATTTATTCTCTCAGGGGGACTCAACTGCATGTGTGTGTATGTGATGTTTAGCTACTTACTGCAAGCACACCACCACAACTGCTCTCCTCACTCTGCCTCAGGCACTTATGAATTAAATGCAACAATAGCTTCAATAAAACTGAAAACAATGACTCTCGGTGGAGTTGCCTTCAAAGCATCATCTTGCTGTTTATTGTTATAGATAACACTGCACAGATTTTCTGTTGTGTGGAAATTTTGTAAACGAGGTGATACATCTGACCTTTAAAATCACGTGAATGGAAATAAATAGACTCACTGGAAAAGGCTTGAATGAGCTGAGAGCTGGCAGGGTTTTGTGTAGCGCGATTTTTGAGGTCATCTTTATGATAATGTCTTTGTCCCAGAGCCTTCTAACTTTGTGGGTGTATTTTAGGAAACCGTTTCTGGGTCTTCAAGGACACAACTCTCCAGCCTTCGTACCCTCAGGACATCTCGCTGTTCGGGAGTGGCATGCCCACTCAGAGTATCGAGACAGCTGTCTGGTGGGAGGATGTCGCCAAAACCTACTTCTTCAAAGGAGACAGGTCTGTGTGGAAGGATTATTAGTACTTATTAGAAATGAAGTTACTAAAGCCGAACAAGAGCAAACAAGTACTATGAGGACCATTGATGGCTGAAAGCTCTGTTAAAGTCTATTTTTCATGCCAAATTGACTCTGTGTTGCCAGCTTGTACAATTATTACATATTTTAATTTGGTTTTATGAGTACAAAACAATAAGTTGGGGAGTGAATCCTAAAGTCAAAGGAATAAAATATAAAGTATTTGTCAGCTCCTTCCCTTCTGTTCCTCTTTATCTGTTTGGAACATTTAATGATTTTTGGGACTGTTACCCTTGAGATATTTAATCATTTTGCAGGTTTGTTGATCAATGCATCTTCAATTTTGGCATAGATTAGCTGGCATCTCTGAAGCTTTCAAAACGTTGATTGCTTCTTTAACAGCTGACAAATGCTGCTTATTGGCTTTCAACTCATTATGAACCAATGTCAGAGCAACATTTGTAATTGTGATTTTGATACTTCAGAGTTGATCTTTTCCTGTAAAGTATTTATATGATTGTGTCCACTTGTATACGTCTATTGATTTATTCCTGGTTGCAGTTAGTTACCTGCCCTGAAACTGGAGAGTCTTTCCAAACAACCAGATCAGAGAATCTGTTGTTTATCTGTGTGCGTTACAAGGGTCTTAACATTTGAGAGTTTGCCAGTGTGACTCACATGTTTGTTCAGCTGTCATGATAAATCATATCCTTAGAGGTCAGGGGACTCTGTGGTGAAATCTGACAAAATGCTTTGTCGTGATACTGTCATCCCTCAACCTGCTGCTGCACATCTTGACAAACAGGACGCTCTGTCCATCGTATCAAGCATGATTTTGTCTCTCTCTCTGTGTGACAGGGTGGTGTTTGTTCTAGTTTAAAGAAATGACACAGTGTAGCAAGATTTATGTGTGTGAGTGCCAGAGTATGAGAAGCAGATCAATCACAACGTCTGAAAACAAATTTGCCTGACAGATAAACTCGGTATGGATGATTGATTGGCCGCTTTGTCTGGTCATGTGAATTAAGTTTGCTGAGCATTAAATGGTCAGATTGAGGGTGAAGACAATTTTTTTTTATGTCTAACAACAAGTTACAAGACATCAGACTGTAAACACACTACGCAAAAGTCTAGTGCTGTGGCAAGATAAAACTTTGATGCTGCACTATAGATAGGAATAATGTTGTTGTCCAAAAAAACAACGTCTGCACCTGGTTACCATATCCAACTTAAAAAGTCGATGTGATGGGGCACACAGTGACTTACCTGGTGGAGTGTGTGCCCCATGCGAGCTGGGTCCTTCCCAGGTTTGGTTCCGGTCTGCGGCCCTTTTCTGCGTGTCCTCCCCCATCTCCCTCTCCTCCCTTTCCTGTGTATCTTCACCTATCCTGTCAAATAAAGGCATAAAAGTAAAGTAAAATATCATTACATTGGGCAACAAACATGTTGTCATATCAAGTCACCTTCTGCACATGTTTTGAATTGACTATTTTTACATCTGAAGAGGAGGGACTGTTTAACTTGGCTACACATTCACGTGACACTACATGTTGAAAAGCCTGGATTCAAGATTTCCAACATATGCTCGCCTTGACTTTATTTGATTTTGTACTGTCCAGTCCTGTGCAAGGGACACCTAGGCAGTCTCTCTCAGATAGATGTGGATGCTGGTGCGACTGACAGAATAGAATAGGAAAGTCAGTAGCCTTTGTATACTCTAGAAGACTGCCAAATAGATTCTTTGCAGCTGGATTTGGTAACTGTGTCGTGTGTCGGATTAATTAAACTCTTGTCACTCCATGCTGATTTGTGTTTGTGCGTGTGTGTGTGGATTTGTGTATACTCACAAGAATGTGTTATTTCCTCCTACTTGGGATTGACCCAAATCAGCAAACAATTACTGCAGGGTCAGGTGTCTGATGGGGGTACATGTCACTGACTGTGTGCATACACCATCTGTATTAACTGTAGTATTTCTGGCTGCCCTATTTTAGATACTGGAGGTACAATGAGGACATGAGGACCATGGATCCAGGTTATCCCAAACCCATCACCATCTGGAAGGGCATCCCTGACTCTCCACAGGGGGCTTTTGTGGATAAGGCCAATGGTACACCGATTTTATGGATCATGTAACTAGTCTACTAACTAGTCAGTGAGATTGGAGCTAGTTTCAAGTAGTTTCACACACTGTTTGTAAGACACAGTGACATTTATAAAAGATCAAGAACAATACCTTCAAGTACTGCAGAGAGACCTAGTTCGGCTTCAAATGTTTTTGTCTGGTATATGTTGCTATGGTTTTAGTAATAAATAAAACAACATGACAAAAGGGAAACCAAGCAGCATTTTATATAACTTCTGCTGCAATCTTCTGGTTTTCCAGAGTAAATGTATAAACCAGTGTAAAATCTCTATTTGAAACAGTTATTAGAGGTCAGAAAATATGCACACATTCATAGCACATGTAAAAGGAGAGTGATAAACAATGGAAAAAAGGAACTCAATGCATACACTGATGTTTCATTACACTACACTAAAGCTGCAACAATTAGTCGATTAATCAGCCAGTTGATTAAAAGTTAATTAGTCGGCAACTATTGATGATCTAAAATGCCAAATATTTGCTGGCTGCAAAGACAGATATTTTGTGACATTTTATAGACTAAATGTTTGATGGAGAAAAGCACATCATTAGTTGCAGCACTACAATACACTTCAAGCAGTTATAATTCTACAACTAAAACTAATTCTAATAATTAGTTTCTGTTTTACTTTAAGGGACACGGACTCAAATTCAGAATTTCATTTGTGTTTTCTTTGTATTCTTAACTTTTTCTTTAAGATTTCTAGAGTTGACACATGATCTGCCTCTGTTTAAATCTTGCTAATTTTCTGTAAAACTCTGAAGACACCCCAAAAGAGAAGCTTAAATTATAAGCAAGCTAAAGCGCACAGCACGGACAGAATCCTTTTTTTCAAATTAAGATTCGTTAGAGATATTCAAACAGTCACCGATTTGGCTTCTCTGCTCTAGAGTGGCACATGCAATTACACAGTACTCGTTGCAAAGTTAATGTCTTTAAGTGAATTTGTTGTGTCCCACAATCCCTCCCTGCAGGCTTTACCTACTTCTACAAGGGAAAGGAGTACTGGAAGTTCAACAACCAGCTGCTTCGAGTGGAGCCTGGCTACCCGAGGTCCATCCTGAGGGACTTCATGGGCTGTGACGGTCTACCTGCCGACCCTGACTGGGACTGGAGCCCTCCGGTGGCGGAGGAACGCCACTACGACAATGGCGACCCGGACGTTGTCATCAAACTGGACAGCGCGGGGGGGACGGAGAAAGCAGTGGCCATCGCTATCCCCTGTGTCCTGGCGCTGTGCATGATGGTCCTCCTCTACACCGTTTTCCAGTTCAGGAGGAAGAGCACACAGCGCCACATACTGTATTGCAAGCGCTCCATGCAGGAGTGGGTCTGAGGGACTGTTACTGCACTGTATAGAGAAGGGTGTGAAGCTCTGATAAAGGTCTAGTTATTACTTGAAGCCCTAAGTACAGTAATTGGAAGCACTGTAAAGGGTACAGTACATAAGGATTGCCATGTTGGCAGATTTAAAAACTGCTTGAACTCATAACGTGCAAGCTGCAAGGAAGCAAAATGATCAGCGGAACTCATCTGAAGACAGTGAGGGAGCCAATTCTCCTGTGTCCAACTAATATGTATGTATCTGCTTTGACTTTTTTCTGTATCTTGGAATGAACTCAATTAAGTGAGACAGAGTTAAGCTACTGTAAGTGGGACCTTTGTCTATCCTCGTCTCTGCACGCCGCTTAATAAGCCCCTAGCACTAACTTCAGTGGACAAATTAGATATAGGCTTCTACTTTACTTTCATTTCTTAATTAAATTGCTCTGAGCTGTGCTTTTTTTTATTTAGGGTCCATGTAAAAGATTATTCATTGTGTGGAGGACTGATACACAAACCAAATATGACCTTTTCTTCCAAAGAGGATTACTGCTCGATGTTGTTTTTGATGGGATATTTTTCCTCCATGGATCAAACATTGTGGCATCATACACAGATTTTCTTTTGCTATTGGTATTCACATCCACCCGTCTGCTCTGTAATCTGTGGGGATAGGAGGCAGCCGATAGTAAGAGCTAGGAACTCAAGACTGTGGTGGCAGTCTATCTCCAAAACAGGGGCCAAAAACCTCTCTGCAATATTTATGAGACTGCCTTAATCACAGATTGCTTAAACTCCCTTCTCTTTCTCTCTGTTTCTCTCTGGTCTGGAAAACTGGATGCTGATTGACACAGTAGGAATACGAACAGCATATGAAGGCGATAATTACTGCCCATAATGCAATTTCCACCAAACCAGTAATTAAGGACAGTTTGATCCACAATGGGTTCATTACTCTTAAAAATGTTTTAAGCTGTTGGCAAGTAGGCTATAAGCTTTCATTTTCTGCCTCAGCGGAGGATATGAGAGAGAAAGGGAAGGTTAGTTGTGTGTCTGAAAGAGACAGTAATTACCCACACCATACACTGTATGTACTGTACTGTACTGTAGTGTGTTATTGAACAGCTAACATCCTGCTTCCCTTTTTTTCCTGCCAAGTTTGGACACTAATACTCCAAACAGTGTCAGTCCATACATTTTGAACAGCTTTACTAATCCATATTTTGTTTTTTGTTTTTTTCAACTTTTATACAAGGTTTGTAAGTTTACATAATATTTCACATAGCACAGGACACAGAGAAGGAGGGGGGGAAAAAGAGAAAGGAAGAACTACTTGTACCCATTTTTAAAATGAGACATGTACAGTGCTTCTCATAAAATAAAGTCATCCAACGCATCTCTAGTTACCACAGGCACACCGGCCTCGTATCAATGGCCAATGCTTTTGCTCAGATTGCTCCATCTTCTCTTTAAGTTAATGCAAATTGTAAAGAAGAAAACACGTCTAAACAACAACAGGAATTACTCTGCAGAAATAAAGAAACGTATTGTTGTCTGAATTATGGATGTTAGGAAAAAAGTTACACCGGTTTCGCCTGTGTGTAATAATGGAACCAGGTGGTTTTATACACTGTAATTGTAATTATCCATTATACAAAAATACTTATGTTATATTAACAAATTACTAATAAATGTTTATAGAACTACTCTAACATTGTTGGAATTAACAGGCATATCGGAAAAACCAAAACCAGCTAAATTAAGTCGGAAGACAAATATTTCACATATATATCATGATGTATGATGTTACATATATAGGACATCGTACATAAAGCATAATATGTTTCAAAGAGTTTAATTAGCTAAGTATGAGAAACAATTAAATAAAGCATAACAAAAGGCAGACTCTCTCCAAGGTGAGATGGAGCTAAACTGAGCAGGAGGTTTTTCTATCCTCATGTATTGTAATAAAATTTCAATACACAGCCTGGATCATAATGAAGTATATTGTCTCGCAATTGCCTTTGACTGCTGCCATACATGTAACAATGTGGTTGTGTGGTGTAGCGTTTTTCAGAGTTTGCCAGTCACCTGTCTGTGAGCATTCATGATGTGATTTTTTTAAATATTTGTGCTCATTGATTTTGTTACTCTTTTACTTGAAAGATATGCTCATCAACATAAACTGTACAGGATATCTGACATAATCTTCCATTGATATCAAGGCAATGCCATTTTACGACATATCACCGAGGGAATTAGAGATTTTAAAATGTACTTCCTCTCAGATCTATGAATTAGGGTAAATGGGTTGGATCACGATTGATGGGTTGGACGTTGATTAGATGGTGGTTTTATCTTGTCATCGTTCATAATGAATAAAAACCCCTAAAACCTGAGGGCAATGCATGCCGTTGTTAAACTAAGATGTCATTCTGTTCACCATAGATCAGATTCAGATTCTCTTGTACTATTCCGTCTTTCCTGTTAAAATGAAGCGATTGACATTGCAGGTTTCTGTTGGATGCATTGACAGATCCAAACTCTCATTTTTTATAAACCATGTGAAATTACTAGCTTCCAGTCTACCCTCCGTGTACCAATCTTCAGGCGATTGTCAGAATGATGAAAGAAAATGAACACCCATTTAAAGAAAGGAAACATCTTTGCTTTCCCTAAAGCTGAATTGTACATCACACATCAGTCCATGCTGATCAATGACCACTGTAATTTAAGGTGGAAGCAAAAACCTTTGGCTCAGTGTTGTGTGTGACGTCTTATCAGTTTGTGTGTTTGTGGTGAGGGTCTGATGGCTCCAGCGAGTGTGACTTAAAGACGGCCAGTGAGGCGGGTCGGTACTATATTTATTGCCGTATTTATTCCTCTGTGCTCAGCACCTTGAATCTTGCATTGCATTGTACTGAGGGCAAGAAGCTGTCAATAAAGTGGGTTTGAAATGCAATGTTTTTTTTTTTTGGTCTTGCCACTTCCAAGTAATCCCCCTCCTTCTGTTACTGCCTCAACAACAAACAAATCATCTGGTGTGAATGTTTTTCCATCTTTGAGAGGTAAATCACAGATTTGTAAAGGTTCCATATTTACAATGGTCTTTTTGACACTTAAATCACTTGAAAAACCTGACATTTTAGATGTGGATGGAGTGTAATCAGGAAGTCTCAATGCTATGACCTGTCCTTGTTTATCTCCAGACTTTTTTTGTCTGCCTTGACACACGCTGCTAAGCATTAGTCATTAAAGGAAGTAGATGAGGGCAATTAGACAGCAGTCGATACACCACAGAGGCAAGGAAGAGACGAGGAGCATTTTGCAATAATTGCAATCAAGATCTCATACACGGATACATGCAGTATATACTCCAAGGCATAGTGTATGAGAAGTTAACATATTGCATAATATGTACATAAAGAGTGTATACTGTCTGCTTGGGAGAATTCTGTTTTTAATCCATCCATTCCATGGATAAAGAAAATGCTGTGTGTTGTAAATAAAACAAGTGCATAATGAGTGTGTCCTCGTATTGTGCTCTCACCCACAAACATTCAAACCAGACCCTGGTGAAAAGTTTTATTGTTCGTCACCCCAGGTGACAAAGTGACAGCATGAAGATGCACTACAATAAGCCGGTTAAGATAAAACACATATTTGACTCTATTCACACTCAACAAATCAAAGAACAATGGACTCTGAACACCATACTATTATGTTAAAGTTCAGCAAAATGACTAAAATTTTCATGAAGGAAGCCAAATCCTTTTAGCATTGGCAAACAAATCAAGCAGCACAAACAATAGTTTCATATCTTTAATAGTTAATAGTTCTGTCTCTGTTTGTCTTGTATTGAAGGACTGGAGGTACAAAACAATAAACCTTTGTCATGAAAATACTGATTCTACAAAAAGACCTGTAACTCTTTTCTTTATTCATTTGAAATGTTGGTAAGACAACAGTTTGAAGGATCAGGAGTCACGCTAACTTTAGTGTGATGGTCCAGATATATCCTACTAACAAGCACACAGTGACCACATGAATAACAAACGATGTGCATGAAATCGTTTTATTCTTCATTATCGTGGTAGAGGTCTGATGATCATTCACAAGTCAGTTGACTAATTAGTTCTCTGTTGAGTTGCATATATAGATCATGAGTTAACTTAGACAGAAACATTTATTAAAGGTTTGGTTTGAAAAAAACAAAAAACAAAATTTAAAATACTTGTATTAAACCATCAGATAGTGAATTTATTTACCAAAGTTTTGACATAATTTGTGTTAAGCAGCCCTTAATTAGATGTTTTCTCCTCTCTTCTCCAACCTGACCTCTTGAATCTCTGATGGGGAAAGGCCCTTATATTGGTAAACAGACCCTTTAATATAAAAGAAAGAGCCCCGTCCAAAAAAGACAGCACATTTGGCTTTTTTAAGTATTATTTTTTTGGCCTTTTATGCCTTTGTTTGACAGTGATAGCTGGAGAGAG